ACTGAACGTCGATCGTCGAATCTGAACACCTTAATCCTCGTCGCAGTTTGCGCAACATCATAACTCACAACTGGGGGCTTCTCTGAGGCTTGAAGTTCTGCTGGCATCCGACTGGAGGCTTTCGGCCGCGTTCCTATACAGGCCCAATACAGGCCGCCAGCATCTTGGTTTATATGTAGCTAGTTTAAGCTCGTACTCTGATCAATCTCTAGGAATCGACAGGTTCTCCTTGTGGCATAGGCCGGATTCCTCGAAGAGTATTGGCTTTTCTTTTTCTTATTTCCCCTCTTCAGCCTGCCCTATCCGTCAACAAACCCTCGCACAATCTGTTCAACCTCATGCTTGATATGTTGGGGGCCTCGAAAAAATACCATCCATCCACTGAGATATGCAGTCTAATCAGTCTCCAGATTCTCTCGTTCCAAGATCCGTTTATGCAGCATCTCGACATCCAACTCGGAGGCAACAGTCCCCGCATGATCAACTTCCGATGACCCTATCTTGACGTCGCTTCAGCTCGTTTCATTCTACAAACTCAAATCACCCCTGTCTGGATAAATATCTGTCAATACATCCTCCTTCCCCTCGACACAACATACTATGCCGCTTATCCACCTCGAGACGCTCTCGGGACTCGGCACCTTCCACTACACAATCTCCACGCCTACGGAGGACGACGCTACGACGGTAACTCCGGGTCTCCCGACGCTCGTGCTGGTACATGGGATGTACACCACTTCTATAATATTCCACCGTGCGCATCATCTTATTCTACAGAGGAGTTTCAACTTACGCACGGGCGCTCTAGCGATGTTCGCGGATGTGCACCTGCGACGGTTCAATTTGGTCACGATGGACTTGAGAGGATTCGGCCCGACGACGGCGACGATTGAAGATACGTATGGGCGGGCGGCTGCAGCGCAGGACTTTCTGGGGCTCATGGTGTGCTGTTCTATCTGTATCCAGCATTCGCTAATGGAATTAATTCAATCCGCCCGCGGCAGAAAGCGTTAAATCTCCCCCCGTGCCATGTCATGGGTGTCTCGGTGGGCTCCTCCATCGCGCTGGAGATGGCAATCCTGGCGCCGGAGCAAATCCTATCATTATTCATGCTCTCTCCTCTCCCACTCGTAGAGGTCCGCCGTGCCCCTGTTCGAATATCCTCCTCTGCCAGCTGAAAAGAATTTCCCTCCCAGCCGCAAGATGCTAATGACGGCCGGCAGGAAATCTACGATATCTGGGTACAAGCGTACGAAAATCCGGACGCCTTCGACGAGTCTGCGATAGCGGACTCGCTCGCTGGTACGCTCCAGCTAACATACAACAGCGATACGGAGCTGCCTTTCGTCAAAGCGTCAGTGGAACTCATTACATCGGAAAAGACTATTCCTCTCCAATTATTTACCTTTACCGCACGGCAGGGCAACCGCATTCATCATGCGCTACGGCCAGTGCCACTGGGTCAAGTCCCGGTTGGATGAGTGCTACACGGCGGGGGTGAAGTTCTTCATGGACCCCCCGCCGACAGCCGAGTCGCTCGCGCGCATCCGGTGCCCGGTCGCGCTGGTGCACTGCGGCGCGGACATGGCGTACCCCATCGCGTATACGGAGGAGCGGCGCGACCTTCTCCAGACTGCGGGCGTTGACGCGAAGATCAGCGTGATTGAGGGCGCGCCGCATGCGGGGAATGCTACGCATCCGAAGGAGTGAGTCTAGCTCTTCTCATCCTCCGTTGCAAGATCGAATAATTGCTACACTCCAGGACCAACACGATGTTGTGCGAGTTCGTCCTCGCCAACTCGCCGGGGTTGGACATCCCGCCGCCCCGGGCCAGCGTCAAGTCACCCTTTTTGGAAGCGTTGCTTGAGTGTGGGCTCAAAGCCGATGAAGATGAAGACGGCGACGACGATTCGGACGATGAGCCGCTCGTGGTGAGGAAGTTGGAAAAATGTGGGCCTGAGGACAAGGGCGTGGAGGTGGAGGTGGAGGTGAAGGTGGAGAGGAATCTTCACGTTTTGCAGTAAAGCTATCGCAGGCTCACTAATATATATATATATACCCTGATCATGATCGTCCGAATCTTGGGAGTCACCAACATACAGTCGTTTGCACGAGCAAGTGGACAGATCTCAGAAGGCTGCAATCGCTTACGTTGGAAATCTGCTAGCGTTCAAGTGAGTAATGCTTATGTTCAGGGTTTTCCCGCCAGAATATTCAAGTAAGAAGGACAGCGAAGATATCATAGTCGTCCTGTCTTATATGGGACGGAGGTGTGTAATTCAGAAAATAAGTAAACGACGACGGCCTGAATCCGAAAGGTTCAGCATTCATATAAAAAGAGTTATATGGCCTTCATATTCGAACGCTGGGAGTCGAACCCAGAATTCCTATCTAAACGCGTCGAAGCTAAAGAGCGACGGCGGTGCGCCGTGCACCACGTCCGAGGCATCTATAGGGTTTCATGGCGGGGTAGGAACGCGACTTTCCTTGGAGGTGAGCGTCTTGAAAATTCCCCGAATGGCCATATAGAACGTCGCATTAGTAGCGGTATGGGAGGTGTGAACCCTGTTGCAAAATCCCCCCCGCTCGCGCTGCTAAGTCTGCTACCCCAGGAAAGGCTTCGGCTCACAGTTGCAGTAAGTCATTTCAAAATCCCGGGCCACTAAGGCGAAGTGTTGCCATATCGTCCATCCGACGCTCCACATCCCACTCTTCCTCTTCTTGCTCCGCTTTCGTCATAAAATCCAGTGACTCTTCATTAATCGGTTCACGGTACAATCCGATGGCTCAGGACCTATTATCTCATTCATATGCTTCGGTTCTATTAAAAAAGAATGGAGTACGTAGTCTAGAAATTGGCCACCTGCTCCTCACACCATTTCCACATCGCTTCACCCACCCCCGGTACCAGCGCCGCGGGAGCTGGCGTGCCCATACGCGCCCACGGGAAGAGGTACTGCGATACAATCAGCTTTCCGATAAGAGAAAGATACAGCCCTAGGGCAGGGGTGCAAACCCACCTTGCCGCCCATCGTCGCGCCCTCCGCTGTCGTACCGGCCCAGAGCTGTGTCAACGCGCCGTAAGGGGCGGGATAAACGACCAGACCCTGGAGCGATGTTAGTATTCATCTCGAGGAGTGCAAGATTGCTAGCACTGGGCACTAGGTGAGACGCACGATAAGGAACAAGAAGAGGCCGCCATGGTGGCGGCCGAGCTCGGTCTGGAGATTTCCGGGGTTGAGGGACACGGAGACGATGCCCTGTGAGGCGTATCGACGATGCAGCTCGTTGCTAAATAGGACATTTCCCTGCGCAAGTAATGTGAGTAAGCGCTGCGCGCCGTGGATACAGTTCTGCCAACGAGACACACCAGTTTGCTCTGCGAGTACAAATCCCTCGGCGCCGTCTTCTTGCGCTCCGGGGTGTCCGTGACGGTGTTGAAGTTGATGCCTTTGGAGAGCTGCGTCGCATAGGACGCCGTGTTGATCACCCGCGCAGGCTCCTTGAGGGCGTGGGCCGCAATCAGCGAGGGGAGGAGAAGCTGGGTCAAGTAAAAGTGCCCTGCGAAGCACATGAGTTCGCTGTGTGTTGTGTTGTGTGCAGAAGAGAGGGACCATACCGAGAACATTTGTACCAAATGTGAGGTCGTACTTTTGTGCAGTGAGTTGCTCCACCGGAGGATCCTATCGGTGAACACAATGAACGACGGCGATCTGGAAGGAAATTAAATCGGGGGAAAGCGGCGAAGATATATTCAACACACCATCATTCAACGGAAATTCCAACCATAACACCCCTAACGCGATGTCAGTAAGTACTGGTGACCACAAGAGCTAACACGGACCCATTGTTGAAAAGAACATTGAGCTTAGTTTCCCTCCTGTTCGCGTTGAGGCAATGAATAGCAGAATGAGAAAAAGGCCCGCACTGGTTAAAATCCGCCGCTGCCCGTTTCACAGAATGGAGATCTGCGAGATCCAGGTGCAAGAATTCTGCTTCTTTGCCCGTCTCCGTCTTGAGCTCCGCGATTGCTGTTTTCGCTTTTTCTTCGCTGCGGGCGGCAAGGTAAACCTTGGCGTTGTGTTGAAGAAGGGCCTGGGGCGGCCAGTCAGAAACCTCCAGTGCAAAGTCCGCTTCGAACTTACCTTCACCGTTTCCTTGCCTATACCTGCGATTGTTTTCGTTAGGGGTAAAAAGGGTTTGTGCGCGGCTCGCCTCACGGACCTGTATTCCCACCAGTCACAAGCATCACCTGGCCACTCAGGTCAGGGATATCGTTCACGGAAAATTTGGGTTTTGGAGGGAAAGTTTGCGTATAGGTCGACATGGTGGATCGGGAGAGGTCAGGCATGTGGAGCCATGGACTTTATACCTCGCATTGTCGACTTGACCATCTGAAGACATGGTGCCTTGATGACATCTGATGCGTATACGGATCAATAATTGATGGCGGGAATTTTCGCTGAATTTCCAATGAATTTCAATTTCGGAAGGAAGGCAAAAGGAAGGAAGGAAATTGAGTATAGTAGTATATACTGATGCGGTCCCAAAATTGGAACAGCCAGTTTACAATGAGTCGCAATACCTCCACAATATCTAACCTCTTTTCATTCTAATTGCGGGGATACTGTACTATTAAGTTCAATTCGACATGGGGTGTGACCCGTGACGTTTTGAACCACATTCGACATTCGACAACTGGGCGCGGTGACCATGACCGGTGGCCAAAATTCGACATTTTTCGACACGAAATTTCGTAAAAACAGTACTTCCAAGTTCCAGGCAACCCACTGACAGTGTCACGGTGGACCAATTCGACACCGCGCCCCGGTGACCCGTGACATTGACCAAAATTCGACGCCGACAAGGGTCCCCGTGACCCGTGACTGTCGAATTGAACTTAATAGTACAGTACTCAACCTTCAGCTCATTTTCAGCACCCGACCATGAAGCTCAAGATCGTGTATGCACTTTACACACCATAAAACAGGTCCGTTACATCGGACGTGGTGCATGATGCACGCCTGCTTCTCATGAGTGAATAATACCTGCGCATACACCGGCCGGAAATCTGGGTTCGACTCCCAGCGTCCGAATGACATATTCATACGTGGTTTTATTGCTGCTTTTGCTTTTGGCCTACGGCTGACACTGCTATCGTAGGTTTGGGACAGAATCAAGTTTTCCTTATAGAACTGTCGATTCCATAGGCATTCAAAGATTGTCACAGGCTTGAGATTGACTCTCGAAGGGCTATACTTACCCAATCCCAAATTAGCATAGATATCTCGAACGTAGTACATGGCGCACACCAGCCTTTCGTGGATTGAATCCATAGATTTCAGCGGGAATCTGGGTTCGATTACCAGCGCTCGAACTTCTTCTTCACTGAGACGTTACTTGGTCTTTAGGGCCATTGCTGGCGCATGGCAGAACGAGTCTGGCCTCCGGCCCTTTAAACCACTCCCAATCAAGTAGCTGGAAATCCCTTACATAAACCTGCAAATGTTGAGCTGTATTCAATTGCATGCTGTCAATTGCCCAAAAATTGTCGCGCCACTCGTCGCCGACCTCCGGTCGCTCCTCGTGGCCCGGGGAAATAAGTAATCCCCAAGTTTTGCAGTGGGAAAGCAAACTTTGATTCAGACCAACGATAGGCAAACACAACAGAAGAGAGAGTGGTGTGCGGTGGTGGAAGAAGAGACGAGTTTGGTAAGCTTGGACATGTTAGTTTAACACGGCAATACGGCACGGCCGAAAGCAGTGCGCACAGTAAAACGGAATGACAAAGAAAGCAAAACTACTATAAAAGGAAGTGGAACTCCCACACTGCACCCTACGTCATGGCATAAAGGCCAACCCTAGTGGGGGGAACGATGACTAAAAAACAACGAGTCAAATGTCGTTAACTCCATTTTTTGACTCGTAATTTTTCATGCATATACTTGGCATATACAGTATGGCTTGATGCGTATTCGCCTGTTGATATGTTCCTTTACTCCGCCGTCTCGTTCATTATCTTCAAAACTTATAGGTTCGGTATAGCTATAGGCGCAAGGATACTTATCTGCATTGAACTCTCCGTATAAGGCGCGGTCTTGAAATTCAGTCAGAACAATGTACATAGCCTGGGAATAGGAATATATTTCGGACGTAGTGCATGGCGCACACTGCCCGCTTTGTGTGGTACACAACATTATTGACTCCAGCGGGAAATCTGGGTTCGATCCCCGGCCTTCAAATTTCTTCGTCGTCCCCTCTTTCTACACGGGTTGCGTGCTTCCTGCGTGCTTTTTTCTCTTCTCTTGCAATTTCACGACTTCGGACTGATATTTTTGCTCGTCGAGATCTGGCTTTCCAAGGCGATGTCTGGGCTTGACAAGATGTATCGCGGAACAAAATGAGCCCAAAGAGGTACCTACGTATGTCACTCATGATCAACGCAAGCAAATTATGTCGGCCGTGGTGCATCGTACACACCCTCCTACTGACAGGTCCGCTGGGGATGGATCTTGTGGGATGTCTGGGCTTCAGTAGTAGTAGTAATTGTGAGTTCCTTAAACCTGATATGGTCCCTTGATGTCCGCATTTTCGCACATCCAGCTTCTCAAGTCTCTCGGGGAACTGACTTGAGTGTTCACTAGGCTAGTTACCAGCCGTTATAGCGTGAAAAAAATGACGAGCGAGCAGGTATTGTAAGTAATATGTACCTGCTTGCTTGTCATTACTTGTAGTACAATAACGGCTGGAAACGAGCCTAAGTGTTCACCGCAACTTCGGCACGGTCAACTGGCCCTGTTCCATAAGTTTCCGGGAGACAGTGGATGGATGATTGATTTTGGAAAAGTTATCCGGGTATGTGCGATTGTAGCCTCCTAACCTGTCTTCAAACATCTTTCCTGACTGAGGTGACTTTTGCGACCGAGATCATGATGAAGGTTCCCGCAGGTCCGACTCTTCATCCAAGATATTTTTAAGAAATTGTGCACGGAACCATCCCTGATATCTCGGACGTGATGCAGGGTGCACACTTGCTGCTCGTAAGGATCAGTTCAACGAGGTTCAAACGTTTCAAGCGGGAGCCTGGGCTCGACTCCCAGCGTCCGAGTGAACAGAATATCTTCAACGCACCATTTTTTTTTCTGAGTCGGGCTTACCATTTTACCTCAGACTTTGCAAGTGCGTCACGGAGGAAATCAGATCCGACACCTCCCCTGCCTGAAATACGAGGAAGGGGCGCCAGCTGCTGATAACTTGTTGATGCAGCTGGGATCATCCCTCCTCCGGGTTGGTACTGAAAATCCAAGATCGAGCGACTACACCGTCCAGTCTTCGATGTTCAAGGCTCACGGATTTTGAACAGGCGCGCCGGGCGGCCCGTTTCATTCCGAGCCGTCCGAATGCACCCGATCGCAACGATGACGACGATCTCCGTTGAGTGACGCTATCTTGTTCCACCACCATGCCCCCCGCCGAATACCTCCTCAGACTCCAGCACGGTTCGTCGTTCCCTTGTTGTCGACGCTCGATCTAATTCGACCTCTTTCTCGCAGGCATAACCGGCGGCTTCGCGCCGCCCACGCCGAATGCTGTCTATAGCGTTACCCCATCGCCCGACCCTAGCTCGCTCTCCATAACTGCCGCCGTCCGGCCGAACGGAACACCCTCGCTGCAAGACAACTTAGGCCCCCAGTCGCTCACGGAAGGGAAGAAAGAGGAAGCGGACTCACTCGTCGACGAGCTGCATACCATCCTCAAGAGCATCCCCACGGAGCAACCCAAAGGAAGCGAAGATATATACGGGCTGGATACGAGCATCGAGTGGCGGAGCGGCGACTTTGAGTGGCACAATGGCGGCCCGCAGGGATGCGGAGGTGGGAGCAGCAGTGTGAAAGCGAGCGAGGGGGATAAGGTGAAGTTCAAGCGTGCGGTGGAGATTGTGGAGACGTTGGTGAAGAAGGCGGATTTGAACTTGTATGTCAAGGATGCGTAGGAACATTCGGCGAGTCTGCCGTGTAACATCTTATGTATAATCGTTTGCGACGAACTGATCTTGCGCAATTTTTAGCTGTCCCCGAGAAAGGACTGCTAGGATTTTTTGGTGAACAACCATCATTGCACGTAGCCAGACTTGCCTCATTGCTACTCAGATCACCATAGAAGCTCGCTCGCGACGATTCTGTTTCTTGCGTTTGGCACTTCTCTCCTCCATGCAATTTTCGCCTGGCGAAAAGCCACGCAACATCCATCCGATTTCAGTCGGAAATACTAACGATTCAGAGCTCATGGGCGAGTTCGGGATTCGCTCCCTCCTCTGATCTGATCTATCTCTTTCCAGGCTCGCCTCTCACAAGTGCACTTCTTCGTCTCCTCGGCTTCCTCTGATGTCACCTCTGGATTTTTCTCCTGCTGCTAACCATCGCTAGCAAGAATAATCCACTCCAAAACATACACCAACGGACCCATCGAGCACGCCTGCTAGCCGAAAGTCTCGTAGGCGTACCAGCTAGATGTAGACCTTCAAAACGCTTGTTAAGTTCAAAAGATGCAAATATATTTGACGCGAAGTAGCCCACTTTTGCCTGATTTTTGTGTACCATTGTGGTGGGCGGTTGGCAACAGATGTTAGCTGTGAACGCCATTGGGTTACAAGATTCGCTGATAAACTGCACTGGTGAATCAACTCTACTCACTCACAAAGCACAGCTGTCTTCGAACACTGAACAAAAAATCTTCCGGAACCCTATGCGGACGCTGGGAGTCGAACCCAGGCTTCCCGCCTACATCCACTGCCTAATTACGCCACATATGCAGCGGGCGTGCACCGTGCACCACGTCCGACATAACACTACTATTTTCGGGTGGGGTGCGAACTCGATTAGTGGGGGATTTAACGAAAAATCATCCGCTGTTGCTGTGGCGTAAGAAATAGCACCAGAGAAGCAAAAACGAGAAGAAAAAAGCCCTCGCCTTGAAATGCTATTCGGACGCTGGGAGTCGAACCCAGGCTTCCCTCTTACATCCGGCACGATGAAGCAGGAGCAGCGGCGTGCACCACCTCCGAGATACGCAAGAAAAAAAAGAAAAAGACTCTGTGGAAACCAAAAAGAGATCGCAACACTTAGACCGGAAATACATTACTGCGTAACGGGAGGGACTCCGAGAGAGAGAAACACTGCTTCAATTCTATATTAAGGTACATGCGCGCAGAGTACATACCACAGCGCACAAGGCAGCGCAGCCGCCTGTACATTTTACATACAACGTCCTGGGGATATAGTGTACATTACAGTTTTATTTTTACTTCGAATGCATTGCCGTTTGCAGGAATACCACAACTTTCTTCAGCGGGCAGTTTTACGAGTTGAACGTAGGTGGGTTTACGAATCGGACCAGCCCGATTTGGGCGACTCGGGCATCTCGGCGAGGGGACCGCGGTCGCGGCGGAGGGAGGAGTTTGAGAGGGGGGACCGCAGGGACGTAGGCGAGGTGCCGCTGAGCACCGAGCGGTTGCTGTACGAGTTCAAGAGAGGGGACTGCGATGACGGGGAACCGCTGAGGACCGAATGGCCTGTGCACGAGTTGGGCGGAGAGGGGAAGGTTGTGTGCGGGTTGACAAGATGTGCTGTGGACGAGTCGTCCCCGGTCTGCGGCCGCGACGATTGACCTGTGTTCGGCTGCGACGACTGGGCCGTGTTGGGACGCGATGACTGCGCGGTGTTCGGCCGGGACGATTGGGCCGTGTTTGGCCTAGACGTTGGGCCATTGCGGGCAACAGCGCTGCGTGGTGGGCGGGGATGCGGGGGCAGGGGTGTAGTTGGAGGGGGAGGGGGATGGGCGTAGCGTTTTTCGTTTGCATGAGAGATAATGGGGGAGGTGCTGGGATAGGGCAGTCCATGTGCACGCTCATTGTCGAGGACCTGCGCGAGCATCAAATTGCGGAATGCGCGCGTGCCGAAGGCAACAGTGAGCACTGTCGCGATGGATGCAGTGCTCAGCGCAAGCGCGTTGGAGGGCGGGGAAAGAGCCTGCAGGACAAGGGCAGTCGCAGCAGTCAGGGTGGTGCCGATGTGGTAGCCAAGGTTGGCGCGATATA